CAATGTCAAGCCTGGTGGAGGAAGTTTAAAGCATTGTGCGAAATTCGACGTGGAAGTCATCCCAAGCCATTCCATGTAACTTGGATTCCCGCCCACGTCCTTGAGAACACCCCGGACATCATGATTACTGAGGAACAAGCACGTGAGTTTGCAACCACGAGACAGCATATTTTGATGAATCGTATTGCAGACAGAGTTGCAAAACATCTTGCCCATCGGCTCTCACCAGTTGATGGTACGGTCCACCGGCAGGCCAAGCAAGAAATTTTCAAACATCAGCATTGGTTGACAGTGTTGCATGCCATGCTCCCCACAAAGAATGACACAAATGATGGTGTAACCGACGAGGGTGTCATTGAACTTCCTGAGAAGCTAACAGAGTGTCAAGCGGCGGCCCTTTACCCACAGTGGCATTGGTCGACACCGATTACACAGTTTCGATGGAAACCAAAGATTCCTTCTGATATTGCACCACCGAAGTCATGGCGGCACGGAAATGACGGTTGGAAAGTTGTTGTAAACTTTCTGAGTGGCTTGCAGTGGAAATGTTCTGGAGAAGAGTCCATTTCCTTTTGCGAAATTGCAGTTGCATTCCACGCTGAAGGTCATCGTATGCCAGGTGACATTTCTGACCTCACGTTTCGTGATTTGTACAAGATCTTGAGAGAGGCCCTGCTTTTCCTTCACAAGTCTGACAAGGCCCAGCCATTTCCAGGTTGCTTCAACTCGACAAAGCCACGAGCATGTGGTTGCATCTTGCCCCAGGGATGCATCGAAGGTGCAGCACCTTATGTGTCGGCCAAAGGCCTCACGATGCTTGCACAGCTGTTTTGTGTAGGTGCGGATCGCCGCCTTGAGACGTGGCTGATCCCTGTACATGAGTGGTGATTGCATGTCTCTTTTGGGGAAACTCCCATGTTCGGACCAGAGTGTCCGGCATGACATCGACTCGGACCGATGTGCGAGAGGTAGTAACATGTTGTAAAGCCAGTCTTGGAAATGGGTATAGTGACGGACGACCAGATAGAATATGAAAAACTATTTGGTGTGCGCATAGAATATTTTCCAAGTACAAAAAACAAATAGATCTAAAGTGTGCAGATAGAATATTTTTTTGCACATAGAATATTCGGGTTGTTAAATTACATATACATGCTGCTTCAGTCATGCTGATTGTACATCGTACATCTTCGCACTGTGACAGCCAAAAGCAATCAGATTATGGCAGCTTGTCCAACCAATAGCGATTGACGTCTCCATTATTGCGTATCAATCAACTCAACAACATATATTTCATAAATTAATATTCTATCTGTGTAACTGCAACTTCACTTTGCTTGCACTTATATAGAATATGGACCAAATAGTTTTTTGGATTTGGTCCATATTCTATCTGTGAGTCCAGTACTATTATAAGCAGCTTACCAGGATCAGCGACGCATGCCCGCGTGCACTCTTGGGCTCAAGGCTCCTTCGGCTGAAAACCCCCAGCCGAATGATCACGCCTGTAGAGGTGTTTGCATGGTGATTCCGTTTAGTTTCTCTCCATGGACCGATGGACTCTACGTTTCCTTTGCATATCGCTTTGCACATTCTGTGATGCAATTCTGCTGGATGTGGGTGCGCCTCGAACTGGCACCCTGGGATTTATTTGCTTAGCTGTCACTTTGTTTCTTCGAACGATGTGGCCGGACTTTTGCCATGACATGATTAACCCTTTTTAAACTGATCATGGCCCGCGCAAGGTGGGCCCTTCATCCGCTTGGCAGCTCATGTGTTCGAAGTGTGGCCAGAGTTGAACACCAGTGGTGAACATCATAGACTCCCTTGAAAGGTGATGTATATGTAGAATTCTGTCTACCAAGAGTTTGGACAGGTTTGGAGGATCCAGACAATCCAAGGCACGCAGTCCATGTACACAGCCTTTCGAATCTTGGGCTTGAATCCACTGCACAGTGGCTACCATCCGCGACTCAGAGAAGAGTAGTCTATTTTCTTCAAGAACGATTGTTGCGCGGTGATACATGTGTTCATTGGTGCGCAAAACTCTGCGAGGGCTGGGATATTCTCCACACTTTTTATTCCACAAGCAAATGGTTTGTCATTGCCATCAGGTGTGCTAGTCATGCTGACGATGGAAGATTTCCCGGTCCTGCACCAAAACACTATAAACTATAAACAGTTATAATTATGGCACGGTTTCCCTGATTTCAGCTGGTATGGTAGTCGAGTCGGAGTGTAATCCATTTCGCTGCAACAACTTGCCGCAGTTCAGGCATACATCTCGCCCCCCTGTCTGTAAGTACGTGTTGGGTGATGGTGGGTTGGAGAATGTCTTGGCACTGCTGAATGGCTTTGACGTGGCCATGGACGAGCCTTTTATGTTGATCTATGAGGAAGTGACTCGAGCGCCAACTAGTACCTTTTTGCCCCGTTTGGATCCTCAGTTCTTGTTCAATTTGGCTGTGAGGCTGTGAGTCAAAACCCAGAAACCCGCCAGATGTTTCGCCTTGACTTCCCGATAGGTGCTTACAGTAATTCATGTGTTTTCATGCGACATCTTAGTCGTCCTGCAGTTATAAGTCTCCCTATAGAGCATCGTTACACTGGGTTTGTCTTCCAACATTTACTCCATTTTCAATATATATATATACTAGGACCACTTTGATTGAGACAATCAATGTTTTTTGGACTGAGGTCCTGGCAGCATTTCCAGATGCTAAGTTTATTTTGACCATCAAGGAGAAAGAGAGCTGGTACCAGAACTACTGGGAGCTTCTGCAAGAAATGCAAGCAGACGCAGCCATCGTGGTCAAGAATGATAGTTCCAAGGAGCCGGACTGTGTTCTTTTTGCCTTGATCGATTGGTGGTTCCGAAAGAGGTCGATCATTGGTTCACCATGATCCAAGGGTTCTCGAGGCTTTATCGGACATTGGGTGATGCATTTTCTTAAATCACGGGTTCCGTTCTTTTGACCAGGATTGATCTAACAATCTAACACGGCCGTGGTTGTACAGGTAGGTATGCGTGCGAATCGTCCCCAACAGATTTGTGCAAAGTCTTCTCCCGAGTTCAGGGCCCAGTTCGACTGCTGATCCCCTTTTCTTGATTGGAGAAGCTTATATAGAGGGAGGGCGCGGCGCTGGTGACGGAATGCATTCACACATCTTTTTCGACTCCAACAAATCATGGTGAACAGCCCATGAAGAGCTGCTTTGAAAGAAGGCAAGATCAACCAACCCTGCTTGAGGAAGATTACTACTTTAATGCCTGCTCCGCCATGCGTCTGTGGGGTTGCGACTTCAGCAACCCTGCACCTTCCCCAGAGAGCAAAGAGGCCCGAAGAGCACAGAGGGGAGGGTTCAATGTTTGCATTGGAAACAGGGAGACCCCATCCCCAACGGGTTGGTCGTCGCTTTTTCATTTTCCTGTTGAGAAATTGACTGATCATTGTTCACACACTTCCTTCACCAGTATGCTAGGTGTTCCGGGGTTTCATCGGTCAGTTCACAGACTTAAAGAAATTCTGGGCCACCTGGGATGGGTTGGACTCATCTGGCAATTCGTGACACATAGAGTTCCAATTGCAGGCTGACTTGACATGGATGTTGGCTCAAATGATCTAGAGCCAACAACGCTGGTGACACTGTGATTAATGAGGGTCGTCAAGAGCGACCGGGGATGGACATGGGAGCCCGCTCTGTCACCCTAGTTCCATGGAGATGTCAGTCAGAATCAATGAACTTTAAATACAGTACCTCATTCAATGCAGGTGACACAGACCCACAATGGAGGTTTGACCCCTGGCAAAAGGGAACACAGACCAAAAGTCCAGTGGTTTTGGGGTCGCACTGTTCTATCCTAGTCCAATGCACAATCACAGATGCCCTACTTATGTGCGCTTGTTTCATTGAAATGCCCGTGCCCCCAAAAAACAAATTCAATAAGACTTCCTGCCAAGTACAAAGGGTATCAAGCGCATCGCTAATAGTAGCAAGTGCATCGCTATATACTAGTAACAAGTGCATCGCTACTAGTAGCAAGAAGCTACTAGTAACAAGTGGACTATAGCACCTTTCAAGCTTTCACTGGATGCTTCTTTTCTGCAGCGGCGAACTGGAACCCACTCGATGCTTCCCTGAGGCTTGCATCCGAAGCTATGAGCAGCACAACGAACGAGTGCAGAAGGTGATACCACCGGAGCGACTACTGGTCTACAACTGGACGGATGGATGGCATTCTCTGGCACATTTTCTAGACCGTCCAATTCCAGACGAAGAGTTTCCGTATACCGATGATATCGGTGACCTGTTTGACTATGTGTATAATCTGACTCATTGAATGCCCGAGAATGCTGCTGAAAAAGGACTGGGATCACGGAGAGTGTCCCCAGCCCTCGTCTTCCCAATACTAGAGGGCATCGTCAATGTATCTTACCAGCAACACCAACTGGAGGGTCATTGGATGTCTTGAGTCCTTAAGATGAGCCTTTGCCAAACTCACCATCTCAGTAGAGGCTGAACTGAGTCTGAAAGTACAAGAACCAAAGCCACGCGTTGCAGGACAGCTCGCCACGCACGCATCGTCTTGAGATTGTTTGACCATGCTTCAAAACGGTTGGTTTTTTTCTGGATCAAATTTCTGACTGTACAGTCTGACTTTAGCTCTCCCCAGAAAAGTCCTGTTAGAATACCAGGACAGGACACAAGGTCCCCCTTGGCACGGCACGTCATGAGCGATGGGAGTGGATGGTTCTTCTTGAAGCGCAGGAGGGCGAACCTGCTTCGCTTATAACTTATATCATATCTCACAAACCCCATCCTTACCAAACTCTCACCCTATCTTTCCTCCCTCCCTTCCTGCCTGTGTTCTCTCTCTCTCTCTCACTTTGTATGATGCAGTTTAATGATGTTGATAAGTTTGAATTTACCAACAACATCTAACCTCCTCCTTAGCTTCTCCAGATCTCCATTCTCTATCCCATCTCTTTTCGCACCAGGCCTGCCAGCTGTATCAGTGCAGTGGGGCCCCTGGGCAGAAGTGGGTATGGCCGCACGTGCGGGCACCACTGAGAGTGGCGGCTACTTGCGCCTGGATCCGGCCGCCAGCTTGCAGGTGCGGCTTTGAGTGCAGTGGGAGGTTCTGATCCCAGTCGATCAACACATAAGAGGGTTTCAGGGCTTCACCATCTAAAAGCCCAGGTTCTGAGATGGCGAAAATCTGGCTGTGCCCCTTAACAGTTCGTGATGGAACGACATTTTGCCTCTATTAACTTTCAAATGACCCAATGGGAGTATTGGGTGCACATTTGGGTCAGTGGAGTCACTTGTGGGCATGGGGCTCCAGCAAATTGATATGACAGAGGACAAGTCAAGTGATGAGTTGTTGCATAGGTTCTCTGAGACTCCGGACTTACTTGAATCTTGGGTTGAGCAGCAGACCCAGTCTGATTCTCTCACAAAGGGATGAGAACATTTCTTGTGGAGTGGGTCTGAGCGCTTAGTTCTTATTATAGAAGCTGAGCAACTCACGGGCGGACACAGAGAGATCAGCCCCGCTGCGCGAGTGTGGGAGCCCGCTTGGTGGTTGCTCTGACAGTCTTCTGCAGGTTTTGTGTTCCTAGGGGAGTTCTCCAAAGCCCTTGAGGCCCTTGAACATCCTTGAATCATCCCAATCTCACTCGACAGACCTCACCCATCTCCACTCATCCACGACTCATCCTCCCTCTCCATCTCCTCGCTGAACGTAATCGTCACACGTGGACTTGCCGTAGGCGATGGCTGCGATCCTCTCGTTGCCGGTCAGCTTGGTGGGCGTGGCGCGCCTCAACTGGTCTGCTTTCCTGGCAGCGCAGCCAAAGGTGGGACCGGGTAGCAGAGGTGAAGTTCTTGGGGTTCGCTTGTGATAGGATCGGTGGTCACCTGGATGAGAGTACTACCACCCCGTAACCCATTTGGTTAATTCTTTGTGTGTCGGAATTGACCAGCAACATGGCTGGCTAGGGAGTCTGAGACAAAGCCTAGGGCCTGGTGTGGCGTTCGATGGGTTGTTCTTGGGCTTCCGGGTCCTGTCACATCCTCGCACCAGCTTCGGAGAGGCTAGGCTTCCAAAGCACGGAATGCCTGTGCTGTGAAGAAGTAGCTTAGTAGAACATAGTAGAACAATTCTTCCTCACCGTCAATGCGAGGCACCCGAAGAATGGCAACCCATGAGTTTTCACCTGGCATCCCCGATTATTCAAGGCAGACGGTTCATTCTTTGGGTATCTTTCGGTGCCAGTAGGGTTCTGGCCAGCAGGAGAACTTTTTTAGCGTATTTTTTCATAGATTTTTTTCCATCAGGAACATCTGTAGGAGTAGTGGCTGTTTTCTTACCCAAAAAACATATGTTTTCCTGTAGACTGTAGATGTTCCTGTCGAACAATCGTACCTTCGGTGTTGTCCTTGGGTATCCTTCGTCACTTGCGGTTCAGGTGCCGCCCTTCTTGGAGAATTTCCAGCATCACAAGAAGTCCTCAGGCGCGCAGTTCGATGGGCCACCCCTGACCTGTGAAGGATTTGAGCAGTTAGCCATGAGAACAACAAAGGATTGTGTTCTGAGGTCCACAGTACCCCCCCCAAATCCCTGCATATTCCGTACGTCTTAGGCACTCTTAAAACTCACGTACGGTCATTCTCCCCTTCGGACACCACACTTCACCACGACGCCGAGAAATTCAGCACGAGAATGAGATTCCTTGAAGAAGCGGGGGGAGCTTCCCTGAAGAAGCGTGAGCTATCCTGCGTCCAGTTACTAGTAGCGTCCTACTAGCCAGGAGCAAGCTAGTCGCCCTGAGGCAGGGCCACGGTTAAAAATGCAACGGTCATTGGTCGGTCATGGCAGCGCCCCTGCTGACCACTTGACAGTCATACGAAAATACCTAAGCGTAACGTATCTGATGCCACCAGCAAGCCCTCCTCTCTTTGAGGGAACTGGGGTGGTATGGTCCTTATCAAAGAAAGACTGGACACACCCAGACATGGTATGTCTTGGGGGTTCCGGGTTTTGATCCACACCCTGAATTATTCAGATTTATATTGTGACGTGAAGTACTGGAATACTTGGGGATATACTACAGGGGTTAAACAAAGTGAAGTGACCCGTGGTGTCTGGGTGTTTGTCTGGGGGAATTGTGAGAGACACACCCCTTTGCTTGATGACAAGCATGAAACCCAGTATCCCTTGGTGCCTTTACATAAGCCTGGTACAGCCTTTGAACAGGCTGAAGAGAGGTCTCCTCTTGAGTCTTCGCAGGAAGGAAGCCCAGATATGTACACTCCCGAAAACTAACATGGAAGTGGAAAACCACCTGTTTGTAGGGGAAAATGGTCTTCCAAGGGGCCATTCTCCACTTCCATGTTAGTTCCAGGGAGTGTATTATAGAATTATATAGTAGATTGCCATATCAAGATGGGTCTTTGTATTGTTAGTTCTGCCTTGTTCTTTTGTGGTGAGATGTTGCAGGATGTGGTTTGTCCATCTTAATGCACCAGGATGGATGTGCTAGTTCAGGCAGTGTGCTAGTAACAAGACAACTTGATTGTTCGTGCCCAAAGGGAGGGTTTCCTGCAAATACTCCTGTACAAGAACACACGTGTTGTTGGTACGGGGGCCTCCATTCATTCATGATCATCCAGTGCAGCATTTGCACCACAGGCGTTAAGATGAGTGGCGGTGTGCCCAAGGACCTTTTGTGTGGTCGAGCAGATCTGCCTAGAGGAAAGTAGCACAAGATAGTAGCAAACTTAACCTTGACCTTGGGTATTGCACTCCTCCTCTGAAATTGACACATGTCGCCGCAAAGGTACTGAGTGGAATGTTACCTGCCTTTTCAAACAGCGTTTTGTGATGTTTTGTGCGGGGGTCTATCCTATCTTGAGACCTCATTAAACCTCGAGTCACTGGTGCGTAAAGGACATCCGGGGTTCCATGGGCCCGTATTGTGGTTGGTTCCACCATGGATCACTCTTGGAATATCTTGCGGACTCATGGGCGGGCGCATCAGTCAACGATGTTTGAAGCGATGTGATGTTTTCGCGAGGTCTCTTTGCTCGCAAGTCTCGGGACTTCGTTCCGTTGGATCTAGAGTTTCATACGGAGTGTCACTCTGCTGGCTTCAGGATCTGGATAAATCGAAAGGTTTCAACGCGTCAACTTGTCAAGCTCATCCATCGCTAAGAAAACCGTGGAGCGGGTTGCTCGTGAGGATTTGGTCAACTCCACCATCATCAATGTCTTGTGCGATGTCTTAGGCGGGGTGGCGGGCCCGGGGAGGTTGTGCTGGGAAGTCACAGTTGCTTTTTCTTTCTCATAGAACTTTTTCAAGAAGGGGCTACCACATCTACCGGATAATTATATTTCAGTTCATATCCTAAGGTGGGTGTATTGCCATGCGTACTGCTTCGTACCCCTTGGGGAGACTTCGCAACATGTCGTAATCCCGACAAATTGTCCACAAGACAGCTCATCAAACGCAGGTGATGCGGATTTGTCCGACTTCTCAGTACCTTTGATGGACATGGGCTTGGACTCTCTCTCTGCTGTGGAGTTCCGGAACCGCGTGCAGGCGCTTCCTTGGCGTGCGTGCGCGTGCGGTACGAGGTGGTAAGGTGGCTAGGGATGGCTCTTTAAGGACTCTTCATGGGATGTTGCTTGGGGATGCAACTGGGTACCTTTGGAGGGATTGCTATGAAGCCAATTTCTTGGACAATTCAATTCAGCCATATTCAACCTATATAATTATGGTTATTCATGCTAGCCGCTAGCCCTGTCATTTGTCCATTTTCCATGGCCAAATCTGCAAGACATATTTTGGCTTGATCAGGCCTTACTGTACTGGATCTCATTTGGGTTCCAAAAGCCTGGAGTTTGGTGTTTGTAAGTCCTATCGGCAGTGGTGAACCTGCAGGGCTTCTTGCCTCCTGTAACCCATCATCTTTGGGACTGAGGTCTCTCCAGGACAATACGGAAGCCACATAAAACCAACATGTAAGATGTTCGCTGGATTCGATTTAGGGGTAAGATTCTATGTGCCACGGGTTATTGGACAATCTCTTGACGGTTTAAACCACGGACAACAGGATTTCGGGTCCAATCCGTTGAAATTCAGTGGTTTCGCCTTGTCGCTGCAACTTGTAACTTGCGACTTTTAATGCATAGGCAAACTTGTTTACGCCTTTCGCGTGCACGCAAGGCCTCTTTTGATGGGCTTCATTTGGCGTCCACTGCACCGAAGCAGCAATGAGTCCAGCTGGAGCGTGTGCATTTGGGGAATGCGTCGGACATGGGATTGATCATGTTGATCCACAGAGGTGAAGTGACAAGCAGGGTGGTCCGCAATCGTCAAAGGCAAGTGACCCCCAGTGATAGAGAAGAGAAGGGTATTTGTTTCATTTTGTTTCCATGTTTCCTTTTCTTTTGATACTCAAAAGGTGTTGTGGGTGGGAGGCCGCTTTGAACCAACCTTCCGACGGTGATTCCTTCGCTCCTCTTGGAAGATGCCCAACCAAACCTCGTACTATAGGAATCGCTGTAGATACTGGGATCAATGTCAAATATTCAGTTTTGCAGGGGGTTGATAATCCTGGTTTGAACAGGGACTTGCAATCGTCGATGCTTTTGACTTCTTCCAGCAAACCAGTTCGAGAGGACGACACAGTTGCAAACCCCATTGGATCCACAGACTTCGTGAGGTTTGGAGTCTGGGGGTGGATGACTGGACGGTCTGTTCCCATCTTCTGAGTAGTTGCTGTTCACACTGACACAGCTTGCATCTTGAGAATAGGGAGGGACCCCAGTCACCCAATCGAAATGCCGAAAACGCTCGTCGTCTCCTACTGATCACACGGGTTTTCCTTGGAAGGTTTTTCGTCTTCTCAGGTCATGTTCGACTACCCCACCGTGGCCGACCTCACCGACTACATCGTGGCCCAGTTCAGCGAGGGCGATGAAGAAGCGGACGCGGCGTTGGGAGGCGACTGAGTGGAGTCAGTGGAGCCAGTGGAGTGGGAAGAGAACAGAGAACCAACGACTCAAACCATCTCAGATCCACCAAAAGTTGTTTCCATGAGAGTTTGGTGGCTTGGGTGCTTTTCACATGTTTTCACCATCGACGGTGCCTTTATCACCTTTGGGGAACAGCCATGTTGGTTCTAGCCTTACTGGTTGGCTTGCCCTGGGAACTTGGAACAAGAACTTTCGGCAAGGGGACCTATGAATCGTTGGTTGACCTCCTCCGTTGAACAACACAGACTTAGCATGACTTGGACAGGTTTCACCATCCACCCTTCTCTTGTGCGAACCAGCTTCATCCACGTAAAAATAATCTCGAATCCAAAGTGTTTTCACCGAAGCAAGACATATACAGTAAATTACAGTAATAACTGTGCTCAGACTATCTAAACACAGGTTGAGCTGTCAGCCACCCTGAAGCCGTCCAGGTGGCGTGAAAGACCTGGATGCCAATGAGCCGTTGGCGGTGATCGGCATGGCTGCACGCTTCCCCGGATGCCATGGGAATGGATCCAACGAGCTGCTTGGCAGATGGCAATAGACAGAAGATCGTGTGGACAGTGAACAAATGGAATCCCAAGCTGTCCAAGAATCCAAGTTGCAAGGTATTGGGCCATGATCTGCGCGGGCATGGACATGATCACTCCTGTGCCAATTGAAAGATGCTCGTTTGCACACAGCACGCAGGGGATTCCAAACCCCTGTTGTAGGCAGGATTCTTCTTTCATTCTGTGGAACCAATCTGGTTGCGGCCACACACCCAGATCTTCTTTTGAAGTTCAGAAGTCCGTGCTCCCTTGTCCTGAACTTTTCTACATGCAGAGATGTCCACAGGTTTGTTTTTGCCTCTTTGTGAGTCGTAGATCGGGAATGTGGAACCTCCCATCCATGGTCTTCCGTGCAGGCCTTCCTAGCGAACAAGCTTTGTATCATCGATTCTGATTCGCCAGCAGCAGATCGTCCAAGCGGCTACGGGTTTGGTGTATCCCAGTCGTTTTTTCCCGTTTTGATAGGGCTAAACTTAGAACGTCCATCCAGGTTACATGCTTGGCCTGGTGGCTCGCAGACACCACGTGCGAGTCGCGTGGAATTTCACACAGGATGGGACAATGAACTCTATTACGACCCCGACACCTCAGCGCCCGGGAAAATGTCGCGATCTCAGCGGCGGGAAGATGGGTCATGGTGATTGTGCAGTGGATGTTCTGCAGATTTTCCAACAGGAGACTTTCAAGATCTTACAAGAATTTGAGCTGAAACGCCTGGCAAGGTTTCGGTCCCAGTGCTCAGGGCTTGCTTTAAAAAACAACAGCCTTGAGGTATGCGCGCTTTGGCGGCTTCATCTATGGTTTAGAGGCATGGGCAAGTGGCTTCACGTTAGGCAGGCTGTTTGGTACGTATGGTAGGAGCTAGTGTACTCAAGCCTTATTGTTTTAATGTTTGTCAGTCAGCTTTAATGCACATTCTCTATAGGTTGCACGAATTTTGCTGCTCCGATGCAGGATGCATGTTTTTCCTGACGTTCTGGAGTGCTATGGTGTAAATATAATTGGTTGTAATGCATTCAAGGGGATAGTCGTCCACTTGCTTTATTGGACCTTGAACAACAACTCCCCCAATAGGGACCTTGGCATTGGGATTTGTTAGGATGACAGTTGTGACCATGACACACATAGGGGTCGACCGATCAATCCATCTGCCAGAAGGCCAATTGTGACCGTGGATTGATGCAGCTGTCTACTCAAAAGAGTAGATATAGAGTCGAGTGAAACCTACAAATGTGTTTTCATTTACACTATTGCTTGGAGCCATAGCCATTTATCACTTGCATCATACTTCCTGAATGTAGAACCTCAGTTTTGGGGTTCTTAGATGGTTGTGGGCCTAAGACGGTCACAGTGCCACTTAGTTATCTTAATGAACGTGGACGCCGACCTACCCACCCACATCATGCCTGCATCTTGGCCGCCATGGCTTGGGCTTGAGCAATGGAGATTAGAACGCTCTCAGGCGACGCTGTCACCCGGCTCCATGAGGAGGAATTGGGCTGCATGGTGGAAAGTGGGACATCTATTGGGGATCTGAAGAAGCTCCTGGCCGGTCGGATTGGATACTCAAGATTTCGACAAAGGCTCTTGAGCGACGACATCGGCGAGCTGCAGGATAATATGCCCGTAAGAAAACTGACAAGTGTGCAGTTGGTAATCCTGGACTTCTGTGCACCTGAGGAAACCGTTTGGGAGAAACTACTCTTTGCGTGTGAGAACAATCTAGTTGTTGAAGTTGCAACATTGCTTCAAACACCACTGAATCCCAACGGAAGAGGTGCAGACTCTGACACTCCACCTGTGTATATTGCAGCAGAACGAGGCAATTTGACAGTGGTACGGTTGTTGCTCGAGGCGGGAGCTGATGTGAATGCAGCAAAGGCAGATGGGGCAACCGCCTTGATGGTGGCAGCTTTCAATGGCCACTCGGAAGTGGTGCGGTTGTTGCTAGAAGCTGGAGCTGACAAGAATGCAGCAAGGGAAGATGGGGTAACTGCCTTGATGGCTGCACCTGTCGCTGGCCACTTGGAAGTGGTGCGGCTATTGCTCGAGGCTCAAGCTGACAAGAATGCAGCAAGGGAAGATGGGTCAACCGCCCTGTTTGTTGCAGCTCAGAGTGGTCACTTGGAAATGGTGCAGCTGTTGCTCGAGGCTGAGGCTGACAAGAATGCGACACGAGCCAATGGGCCAACAGCCTTAATTGTTGCAGCTGAGGATGGCCACTTGGAAATGGTGCGGATGTTGCTCGAGGCTGGAGCTGACAAGAATGCAGCACAGGCAGATGGGGCAACAGCTTTGTTTGTTGCAGCTTTCAATGGCCACATGGAAGTGGTGCAGTTGTTGCTCGATGCCGGAGCTGACAAGAATGTGGCAAGGGCAGATGCGGCAACAGCTTTGTTTGTTGCAGCTCAGAATGGCCACCTGGAAGTTGTGCGGTTGTTGCTCCAGGCTGGAGCTGACAAGAATGCAGCATTGAGAGATGGGGTAACCGCCCTGTTTGTTGCAGCTCAGGGTGGCCACTTGACTGTGGTGCACCTGTTGCTTGAGGCTGGAGCTGACAAGGATGCAGTGCAAGCACACGGGTCAACAGCTTTGTCTGCTGCAGCTTTCAATGGCAACTTGGAAGTGGTGCGGTTGTTGCTCCAGGCTGGAGCTGACAAAGATGCGGCAAGGGCAGATGGGGCAACAGCGCTGTTCGTTGCAGCTCAAAATGACCACTTGGAAGTGGTGCGGTTGTTGCTAGACGCTGGAGCTGACAAAGATGCGGCAAGGGCAGATGGGGCAACCGTTTTGACCGTGGCAGCTTGCCAAGGCCACTTGCAAGTGGTGCGGTTGTTGCTCGTGGCTGGAGCTGACACGAATGCCGGAAAGCCAAATGGTCCAACAGCTCTATTTTCTTCAGCTCAGAGTGGCCACTTGGAAGTGGTGCGGTTGTTGCTTGAGGCTGGGGCTGACAAGGATGCTGCGCAGGCAGATGGAGCAACAGCTTTGTTTGTTGCAGCATTCAATGGCCACTTGGAAGTTGTGCAACTGTTGCTCAGGGCAGGAGTTGACAATCATGTGAGACGGCAAGATGGGGCAACAGCCCTTTTTGTTGCAGCTCAGAACGGCCACTTGGAGGTGATGCAGCGGTTGCTCGAGGCTGGAGCTGACAAGAATGTGTCCAATCTACATGGAGTAACCGCCTTGATTGTGGCAGCTTTCAAAGGCCACTTGGAAGTTGTGCGGTTGTTGCTTCAGGCTGGAGCTGACAAGCATGCAGCGCAGGAAAATGGGCCAACAGCTCTGTTTGTTTCAGCTCAGTGTGGCCACTTAGCAGTGGTGCAGTTGTTGCTCGCGGCTGGAGCCGACAAGAATACAGCACAGGCAGATGGGGCAACGGCTTTGTTTGTTGCAGCTTTCAATGGCAACTTGGAAGTGGTGCGGTTATTGCTCCAGGCTGGAGCTGACAAAGATGCGGCAAAGGCGGATGGGGCAACCGCCTTGATGGTTGCAGCATTTAATGGTCACTTGGATGTGGTACGGTCTTTTCTAGAGGCTGGCGCTGATAAGAGTGCGGCCAGGGCAGATGGTGCAACCGCGTTGACCGGAGCAGCCTTCAAAGGCCACTTACAAGTGGTGCGGTTGTTGTTGGATGCCGGAGCTGACAAAGATGCGGCAAGGGCAGATGGAGTAACCGCCCTGTTTGTTGCAGCTCAGAATGGCCACTTGGAAGTGGTGCGGATGTTGCTCGAGGCTGGAGCTGACAAGGATGCGAAAAGGGCAGATGGAACAACCATGTTAATGGCTGCTGCACAGAATGGCCACTCGGAAGTGGTGCGGTTGCTCGAGGCCAGAGCTGAGAGGCATGGGGCAAGGTTAGACTAGGGAACTATATTAATAGCTCCTGTGCAGAATGGCCTGCAATCGTTGCGCTGAGTGAGAGACTGTGAGATTTGAATAGCAACTGACAGCCAAAACAGCACGACGAAACCTTCGCGGAAAAGAACCAGGCATCGGCAAACTGACACTGTTCCACCAGCATGTCACTTTTGGAGTGTTTATTTTTCTTGGATTAGATTAAGAGAAACCTTCAAGGCGAACCACCTGCAGTTGTCTTTCTCTTTTAACGTATATTATATATACAGTATACATGTTTTATAATGCAACGCAGGCCACAAAGTCCCGAAAAAACAGGCCTGAACTTTCTCGCTTGACCCACGCAAAACACTGGCTCTGTGTGACAACAGTAACAGCATGGACACGGCGGCGCTGCTCATGCGCCATGCGCAGGGCTTCGACAACAAGATGTTCGGCATCGCTGAAGCCGAAGCCCAGGCCATGGACCCACACCAGCGGATCCTGTGCCTTGGTGTGAATGTATAGTCATCAGGTTCCCCCAAAATTACTGTAACTAGAAATGCTATGAAACGCTTTCCCGGCCCTTTGTAGCCGGGGTACATTTTTTGCATCTATGGATAGAGGCGGCCCTTGGGGACGCCAATCCGATGTGCAGTTGACGTACCAATTCCCGTGGGATTGCAGCGGAAAGTTGCAGAGGTGCGTTCTCACCACCGTTGAGATCTCGCTGGCAAAGGACCTATTTTTTTGTGTGTAATTATTAGACTTAGTTGCCGTAACATGTACGATTTTTGAGAAAGTAATCGACGGATTTGGATGGATGCAGGGTCTCCAACTCAGACCAAGGGTCCTGCCAGCATTCAAGATACGACCTGCTCGTTTGATGTTTTGAAGCCAAGGCTTGAAGCGGCATATGAGTCTTTCTGGAATGGTGGCTTAGACAAGGACGTTGGTGTGCTCTCCCCTGCAGATCGGTCGGTGACGGACGTGGAAGTGAATCGTCCTATTTTGTTTAGCAGCTTCGAACCAGAAGGCCATGTTCCATTTAGTTTCAACCTACTTCATGGTATGTGGACTCTCACTGGACGTCACTGGACGTTTTCAGTTCACCAGGAGATGCCGCTTTTCCGAACACCCGTCTTCTTTTCCGAACACGCCTGTCTGGGATTTACATGTATTTACGGTGTTGCGCTGTTATTGAGTGCTGCAGTGCTTGAGAGTAGATTTGGGCGATGAACAACTGCGTTTGGGGTGTGACGGACACTCCATCTGAGAAGTAGGTGACAAGAGAAGCGATGTCCAAGAGGGACCGCAGTGACCGCTCGTTTGTTCTGTTCTCCGACGAGGAGCAGCTTTCCAATTCCAACACCGGATGCTATGTCGGCTGTGCCACGCTGGGCGGGATCTCTGTGCAGGAGGGTGTGGGGTGAACGTGGAAGTGCTTGCGTCAGAGTGCTGCTGGTGGATCTCCTAGTGCCTTCAAAGAACAAAAGGTTGTGTGCTTCGACTGGGTGAATAATGATGAAACTATAATTCTCTGGGTTCTGTGTATACATCAACGGTTTTGTTTATTTTTGGGAAACACTATTTGACCACCAACAGTGCGAATGCCATGGTGACAGGAAGTCCTAAAGGTGTCTACTGCAGTTATGATGGGTCCCAAAATGGGTGCGTCTCAAAATAGGAGCTTTCCAAGAGTCCTTCCCGTTGAAAGAGAACTCCTGCATCGATGTTTACGAGGGACCTTCAAGAGCACAGTTTTGTTTGATCGTTTCTGTACTAATAGCGATGGCCTCCAACCTAAGAGCGATGGCCTCCAGCCTAAGAGCGATGGCCTCCAGCCT